GCCCGCCCTCCCGCGCCTCATCATCTCGACTATCTCGACTACCGGGACCCGAGGGCTATACTGCGAGTCCAGGACAAGCCCTCGAGGGCGGTGTTGGGTGGTTATCGAACGCCTCGCGCTTTGCTCGCCAAGTCCCAGGGTGTTCCGCTTTCGATAGCCACCCACGCGCCGTTACGATGCGCCAGCTCGACTAGTCCGCCCTCGCAGAACACCGGTAACGTCCTTCGAAACAGTCACTTGCTACTGGCCAGTCAGAACGCCCTGATCACCAGCCAACAACCCCTTCCGCCTACCCCGTCGCCGTCCAGAGTCATCGCCGGTCCTGATCTGGACGACAGCTGCGTGTCCGCTCGCCCGGTAGATTCCCGGCTTCCCATCACGCCGACTCATCGACCGAGACTCCAAACGCCACCCGTTCGATCTCACGGTTCCTCGAATCCTTCCGGTCAGCCGGTCCCCTCGCGCGACGAGTCCAACGTTAGACGACCCTCGGTCGACTCCGAGGGCTACTCGTACATCGACTTCAGAGACCGGGATTTCGAGTCCACGAGGTACGACCGGATCAGTAATCAATCGGAAACGACCAAAGTGTCGAGACTGTTTCGATCGTCCTCGCCGCGCTCCAACTCGCTAGACTCCGACGGTTACTCGTACATCGTGGACACCGGTGCATCCTCGAAAAAGGCGCCGGGCACCGCGAGAAGGATCGTGGCCGAGGGCACCGAGGAGGAAGTGTGTCCGTTGTGCACCATGCAACAGATACACAGCCTGCTTAGCAAGCCCGAAGACATATATCTGTACGTGCAGAACACGTGACACATGTCGTTCGCCAGCGACATCTTCTTATAGAGACTGCTCCGTCTCGGATGTCTGATCCCGTCGCGTCCCAGGTGTCGTCGAGACGCCTCGAACGTGGCCGGGCTCGGAAGACGCTTCACATATCCCGTGATATCGTTGGCCACGATCGTTCCAGAGTCGTTCGAGCGATTCTTTTTATTCGTGGCCCCCGTGTTTCGATATAAACTCGTCGTCCTCGTCGTCCTAAGTAAGTTCCATCGTGAGGTCGTAGTCGTAGCTCGTAGGTAGTCTAGTGTCCTTCCGGTTTCACCGACCTGACGAGACCGATACCAGCTGTCTCCGTTCGAGAGATCGTGTCTGTGTTCTTTCTTTCGATTTCGTTCACGTCCTTGCACCGCGACTCACCCCTTTTTTACGTCTTGCATTCCACGAGAAACTCGAGTACACTCGTGTTTGCCGGCCGATTCGGTCGATCTTCGGTCCTCTTGCTCGCTATCGGTCACGAGGCGAAGACACTAGCGCGGACTAGTCAGTATTTATTTTGTTACGAGCCGTGCTCGCACAATCTCTTTCTCGATTCGCGTGTCGGAGAGAGAGAAGGGTGATTTATGCAAGGTTAACCCTTAGATCCTGGAACCTTACGAGGTGCATATTGCGATATGCACAAACTTTCTATCGATAATTAATACGTTTAAGGCTGAAAATAAAGGCTAATATAGAGTAAAGGGTACATGTTTAGTTTTTTAAATTCAACGATCAGTAGCCACATTATTTTTGTTCTCACATATTTTATTTCTTAAAATTCGTTCATTTCTTTTTCAAACTCCTGAAGAAGTTAATAACAGTAAACTTGCTAATAGTTTGATATGGAGTCTAATTCACGCGAGGAATGTAAGGGTTAACAACGAAGGGCGAGGGGCCTTATCGTCGATTGTGTGAGTACGGCGCTTAGATGCACTCCATGGTTGTAAATAGATTAGACCCGAGCAACTCGAAAATTGTAAATAATATACACAGAGTGTGTCTGAGAATATGAGAGAGAGAGAATCGTGTATTAATATAAAGTATCAAAAAATTATTGAATTTTTTTTCTGCTTTGTATAGGCGCTCGATTAATTATTATTACGATTTACGATTATCGCGCAGATTATTTATTATTTCAGTCTCGTGTAAATAACTTCGAAGAAACATAGACTTTAAAGCGAGTGAGAGAGAGTAAGTGAGCGAGAGAGTAAAGAGTCCTGTGTATATTAAAAGTATTGAGAGGAAAGAAGGAGGTGAAGAGTTTGAAAAAATAAAATTACTTTACTGAAAAATTTGACAAGGAGTGGTTATTGACCCGGTCCACAATCCCTTCCCATCCTTGCTCGTATCCCTCGTACGTGAATGGAGGACAACGATAAAAAGAAAAAAAAGATTATGAAAGTATGTCGAAACGAAGAGAATAACGCGAAAATCGAGTGAAAAAAAAACTATTTCGACGGGCGCGAACCAATCGTCTCCTGATAAAATAAAAATACACGTGGACACGGAATAACCACTTCTGTGTTCAAACTTTTTCTATGGGAATGAACGATTCTCCTTTTCTAGAGGGTTCGTTTAAAAGGATAGAGAGGAAAAAACGGAAACGAAAGAAAGAACATTGATCATTTCGTTCCGCGGCAACTTCGATCTCCGTTTCAAAAAAGCATTTTTAAAATTTTTCTTTTTCAACAAAAAGCTACATGCCGTTACATAACATAGTTGTCGAGTATTCTATCGTAGCTAAAACTGCACGAAGAGAAATCTCGAAGAATTGGTGTCGTCGATTGTTCTCCCATCCGGTCTCGGTGACACAGCTCGCGTCAGCCAACGGATAGGCAAATAAATTGGCAATCTATGCGACCGGAAGTCGGTCGATTTAATATCCACCTGTTGTTGCGTCGATTACGATGCTGGGATCGATGCACGTGACACGTCGTTAAGCAACGAGGCCATGGCCCCTGTCGATCACCGTGAACGTTTACGAAACCGAAACTTCCGTTTCGAGCAACCATCACGGTTTTCGATTCTCTTCCCGTGCAGGATAAACCGATCAACGTCCAATCTTGAGAATCTCGTTGGTCCTCGATTCGCCGTTGACCCACCTGTTGTTAGCTCAATTACGCCGCTCTAATCCATATCCTGGCAGCTCGTTAGGCCACGAAACCGTGACAGCTTGGCAGCACTGGCGTTAAACGATGGCCAACGAGGAAATCTGACTTGGGAACCTCGTAACAATTAGTGGGGTTATGCCTAGGTCCTTAATTTTGAAGGAAAACGCGTTCTCCATTCGGGGAGATCCAAATTGCCCAGGTTCAGATAGACAGGACAGAGGTATTCGATCGTAATCGATAAATGGCCCGTGAATTATTGGATTCGATTCGAAATGGATGACAGAATTGACGGATTCCGATAGCGTCGTATTCTTCGTGCACATCCGGTAATTGGAAGAGACGCGGTAAATTAGTCGATTAGGGTTGCAGCGTTATCGCGATACAATGTGTGACGTCCAGGTTAGAACGCGGAGGCAGTTCACTGCGGACAGACACGCGGGAACGTGGGGCAGGTTAGGCGTGTTAAGGACAACCCATTAACCTCCGTGCTCCACGCTATTACAGCACGGACATATTGCTTCCTGCTGTTGGATACGATGGATCAAGCCTCTATCTCAATCTCGCTTCGCCTTCCTTCCTTCCTTCCTTCTTTCACGCTCGCTTGACCCGGGCTCTTTATATCCATCCTTTTATCTGTGTTTCTCCAAAGGGAATTTACCAAGATTTGCCCGCGTGTCGGGACTCTGCGAACGTATAGGATCGAAAATTTGAAATGACGTGATCATGCGGGGATTCGAGGAAACGAGAACGAATGGGGGCCTACAGGAAATATATTTTTCTTATACCTTCTCCTCGAATTATTGGTTTATTAATTTTCTTCGAGTAGAATGTAGTATTTCCTCTTTGAATTTACGGAGAAAGACATTATTCAGAGAACGAATGAAAGAGGAAGATCGGAAATATCCGTTTTATCTACCTTTTTGGTTCCATTTGTCATAAAGTATCTTTAGAGGGTGGTTAGAATTTAATCGTTGAACGTTGCTGAATAATTTATCCGGTATTACACGTAGTAAGATAGTCGGAGACCTTCGAACATGTAGAATTGAAAATTCGAGGTGACACAGTTGTTCGAGGATTCGAAGTAGAAACGAGAACAAATGGAAGAGAAGGTTACCAGGAACATTTGTGCCATTTGCAACGGAAATGTGACACACATCCGCCATACCGGTCGAAGATTAACACGAGCCAAATGGATTTAGAAGATATTTCACCGCGATAAAATACAGTTATGGAAGTACCGTCAAAATTGTATGCACTTTGCAAACTATGAGACTCGTAATTAGGGAAATTGAAAATGTAACGATTTATCGTTCCCCTCGTTTGTCAAAGAGTTTCGCGATATTTTTAGGCTACCGATTGAAGTAGGAAGCGAAGCGTATCCATTAGAAAGAACCCTCGAGCTGCATTGCCGGAGCTACGCTTCGTAAGGGCGACAATTACCTTCGTCCGGGCCTGTCGCCCTAAACGAGACGCCGGTAATCGAGTGATCCTCTTTCCAGAGCGATAATATCGCCCTTGGAATCTGTATTCAGAGCAAAGAGCTTCGGGCGTTTGCTCCGCCGTCTATCATCCGACTGCATCTCGATTCTCTCTTGGCTGGCAAGCAATCTTGAAAGATCGTGCGCTGATTCTTCTCGCCGTCACGATTTTGCAAATTGTCTTTTTCCGTTTGAAACAGAGAGGAGAGTGACCGGTTTTTTACGTTACGATCTAAAAGAAGAGAAAGGAGGTCGAACGTTGATAATTGGGTTATCGAGATGTCAGAAGCTAATCGAAAGAAGGTCGAAAGACGGAAACACGAAGGGTGGAACGCGTGATTAGACGAGATGCGAGAAGACAAGCAAAAGGGGAGGACCCTCGTCGTGCGATGAAAACGAAGCAAAAGTAATCGAGTGATCCTCCTTTGTGGCTGATAGCGCAGCCCGCGGGACTTCAATTCGGAGGGAAACTCGATGGTTTCGTTTGCCTTAGCTCCCCGTCTGCGCTTCCTAGATTACCTAGGTAACTCGATTTTTACGATTCGGGGTCACAGGGACGACGGATCGTTCTCGGATATCTGATTGCCTTTCCACTCCCTTCGAGAACTTATTATTTTCAGAAATCGCCCGAGTTACAACTTTCGCTACAAGCGGTAACGGGTTTACTATTTTTATTTACTTAATTGAAAAACGGAATCTTGGAGCTGGCAGCGTAATTAGGTCGAATAAACTTGACGTTGTCTTATAAAGCTCCGGATAAAGTTATTTAAAATTCGCTTCCCAGTTACTTTTCATCCCGGTATATTCATTTTACTTTACATTTTATTAAAAAAGGGGAGGAAGACTTTAAGCTTCGCGAGACAGTCTCTTGATTCCGAAACAAAAGAAATTACAGTATAGCATCGTAACCTAAATACTCATGGACCATCGTTTACATTATACGAAAGCAGACTCGAGACAATAAGAAAACAAAACGCTGTGCAAACATTTTCGAGCTTCAATTCGCACACTGTGCCGTGCGAACGAACAATGGGGACGTATGCAAGCAGAAAATCAACCCCATCAAATTTTATTAGGAAGTACTCGGAAAGTGCTCGAACCTCTCCTCCCTATTGTTCTCTTCCGCCGTCGTTGTTATAAACTTGTAACTCGACCTCTTCGAATACTTGGCGTACCTCGTTAAAAAGCACCAAGACAAAGACCGGATTTCCCCTCAAAAACACGTGCAATATCTATTTATCCTGAAAGCATTTCACTCATAATTCAGCTTATAAAATATAGTCTACAACATAAGCTGAGAATATACTAAAAACATAGAACCTAGGAGCATAAAAATCGGTTGTCGAAATCTGCAGAAATTGTAAAATATAGAAAATAGGGGATGAATATAAGAACATAAGGGTGTACATAAAGATCTAAAAATTTCGAAATATAACACGTGCTTCGTAGAGAGTAAATTTCCCATTTGTTCCGGTCAAGTCATTTCGTGGACGCAAGAGAAGAGGAAAACCGGAAACCAACTGTCGCGAAACTGGGTTAACCGGAAGAAAAGATGAACTACCTCCGTGTCGTATCGATTATCTCGACAATCTTGTCGCGTCAACTCTCATCTCTCGTTTCCTCGATTCCTTTTTAGCGACGCAGCAGCAGGAAATCTCGAAAATTAATTATCACTTTGAATCGCCGAAAATCCGCTACCATTCGAGGAGATAGAATAACCGTGTTGCTTCAGGAAATAAAATCTCGCATCGTTCCTCACTGTTCCTCCCGCTCGGATTCTCCGTCGATTTAAGGATTAACTTTCGACCCCCCTTTTTCTGCGAACTTCGTGTCGTGTCAGCGTTTCTTCGCTCTGAATTTTGCCTCCGGATAAAAGGATATCGGAAGATCTGGAGGGTCTTCGAGAGCGGGACCGAGTTAATTGTCAACCGGAAATGCAATAAAGACGCGTTTCATTGAATTCCAGAATATTTCAGTCTCTTAATTTCGTTAGAAAGTTTGTTGAACGGTAGCAAGTGATTGGTTCCTGGCTTTACTGGGTTCATACGTGAATTTGCGCTAAAGATCCCTACGTTCATTGACGCACTTCGTCCCGGTATCAATAAAGTTAAGGGTCCTTCGCTTTATACGGACGTCCGTTAAGTCAATGACACCCTGTATTCCAACACAGTTAACCTCTTCATGAATGCCTATTTATATATTTGCCACCGACTGCAGTAAACCAAGAAATCTTTTTCTAATCTTAAATCATGAAGAGGTTAAAGCGGGATCAACGTGAAACTAACTAGATCTAACAATTTTTCATTGCTGCGACAGATGCTGGACGTGAAGGATAGCAACCGAGGGGTGTTCGTGTGTAGCAGTCCAGGTCCTGATCCGTACACGTCGCAGGACCTCTACAATCCTGTCTACGAGGAGCTCAGCAACGGTGAGTGATTCAACGCGAAATCAAGAAGATTGGTTCGTTCATGACAGAGAATTGTTTCAATCCTGAACAACGATTCAGTATCGCGTCGAAACGCCAATCACACGCTCTCGTTCTAGACAAGAATCGCCTGTGAAGATTCTCAGGTGTACCGCGCGATCCAGCTCAGAGAGAACATAGGTACGATCGCAGTTGCACGGCGTGTCGCGATTAACCTTCCGGTTGAATCTGGTTGAACTTTGTTGTTGGCTAACACCGTGTTGCATCTTCTTTTATTATGTGTACCTTTTCTAACTCGCCAGTAAAACCGCTTTCAAATATTGAACCGAGACCGAACTTTGACCCGGCATCCTCGGAACTTTCCACGAGTCTTTCGCAAGAATTTTCATTGCCAGACTTGCACGCTTTTCAAGCGGGCTATGATCCTGATCCGTCACTTTATATACCATTCAAGAGAATAGGCTGCTTCTTTCTATGTTAGTCTTAGAGCAAATATCTTTTGCAACCCAGTACAATGTACTGTGCTAGATGATGTTGCAATAAATTTTACAGATGCTGAAGTTAATTAGTAAAGTAAGATAAGGTAGCAGCCATTGCTACCATTATAATGGTAATGCTAGTATGATACTAGCATATTAGCTAGTATAACAACCCACTAGTTCTCCACATTGGAAATAACAGCGCAATGGTACTAAACCTCCGGAAAAGAATCAAGCGCATCATTTTTCTCTGGCCACGCTTATCTCCCGATTAATTCGACGAGAACTGTCGGCAATGAAGTCCGCCGACGGTGTCTAATCTCCGTCAAGACGGAATCGGAAGCTCTTCATCTTCTTCTTCGTGTATCTTGTTCCTCATCCATGGCGAGTATCTTGATAGCGTCTCTCTCTGGCTCGTCTCTCTCGCGCCGCGTGTAAACCACCCACTCCTCGACCCGCCATACTGCGCGGTCTTCTCTCGAAGGAGATAAGCGTGACACGACCTCTGACTTATACTTCCCATTAGTCGGATGGCTAATTAGCATGGTGATGAGACTTTCGACGTTTGACGAGGACGCGGTAATCGAATATACGTGCTGCACGAGGCGCATCGTTTCGATCTATCGTACGTACGTGTGCACCTAACCACGCGTTCTGCATCAACCATCGCATCATATAATACGAGATCGTATTCCTGCGCTTCGGTACGATAATTTGTCTTGGTTAACGTCACACGGGGTGGTCTTACGCCGGTGAAATCCCTTTCGGAAAAAACTTTTGCCCGAACTCGTCGGGAGACCTTGCAAGTTTTTACTCGAGTCTCGGGAACGACTTAGCCATTCGAACACGCGAAATTTACAGGGGAAAATTTCGAGTTAGAACTTTCGGCTGATAAACTTAGGGTTACGAGTTGTCGAGTACAACGTTAAGTTAGGGTTATTACCGCTGTCGGCCATTAAGCGTTAGATAGGTTAGCAACTAAATGTTCGACGGGAGGTTAACTTTGTCGTCGCGTTGAAAGTACTAATAGTGTAATTCGTTAGCATACGCCAAATTAAAATTGAACGAAACGTCTAAATGATCGAGTACCGGAGACACGGATAGATTTTATCGTATTTTGCCATTTTTAAAGGCTTTCGCGCGGAGTATCGAGCTTCTGGTGCGATGGAATTCGGTATCCCCGGGGAAATCCGGGCTTATTCGCTTGAACCGTTGATAAAGGAGAAGATATAGAATGACGGAGATTAAAAGCTCAACCGCGGTAAACAGAGACTCGTCTCTTTTTCTGTAAATAACGATCTTGTTCCGAGCAAAGCGAAGATGGAACGCCCCAAGAGAGATTCGAGGAACTGCGAGAACGTCGATTAGAGACAGTCGATAAACTTTCGTCGATTCCGCTGTTCCACTTTTCAAATTTATTTGTTAACCAAAAATATCTTTCTGCGCTCGTTAAATTCACACCATACTTCTGGCTCGTTCTATTTTTCGTCGTCGATAATAATTGTCAAAGGACGATATTCGCGGAACGCAGCGTGCGTTGTTCGCGCCACGTCTATTGTTCTCGGCTTTTTGTTTTTTGGTGTAACACGAAAATTGGGTGAACAGTGTATGGCCAGAGAAGCGAAAAGACCGACCGAGAGCTGGCCAACCAAAATCGCTTTTGATTTCAACCGCAAACACGTGTTTGATTTTAACCGTAAACAACATAATCGGTTAGCGAACAAAGATTATCGAGTTTAAATCCCAATCGAGTTCGGGCTAAATAAACGGAAGTCAAAAAGTTCCAATTACATCGCGACTTCTAGGTCAGATTCCCGTGTTTCCGGCATCCTAATTCCGTAGATTGTTAGATTTCCAGATACCTGTACCCTCGAATTCCTAGATCCCCTGACAGCTAACAAAGATAGCATGCTTCGCTTTGGCTCAATGATTGCCTCCGTTTCTGTTTAAACAAGACAACAACAACGCGACAATAGCGGATCTCTCTAACTAATTAATTCCAACACTGCTACGCTGAAAATTAAAAGCAACCCTCGCCCCTTCGATTCAACTTGATTTCATCCAGACGGAGATCGTAACTTTGACACGAGGAAAGAGATTGGCCGTTAATTAATTAACGAACCGTCCAATTAATTACCGTAACTGTAGTCGGGTCGCGCAACGAATGCCGCTGAATGCCGGGGTCCGCTTATGCATTATTCATTCGTTCCAGGGGACCATCCGGAAACGGACGAGGAGAGCGAGCTGAACGCACGGAACAGACTGCACCATCATCATCACCATCATCGGCATCATCATCGGCCGTCGTCGAAGCCGGCGAGCGAGGACGAGTTCGCCGAGGACGAACTGTCG